TGAATGGGAACGAAAGGGAAAGGGAAATGGAAATGAAAATAGAAAGGGAAGGAGAACGGGAAGCTGGCTGGCGGCTGGCTGTCAAGCAGGCGACGTCAATTGCCAAAGCACTTGACAAGTAATTTGCGGTGGCTGCCTCTGCCTCAGCTGCTGCAGCTAAGCAACGCAACGCAATACACAAAACAATGTCAGCTGCCTCCCAGCACTTGTCCCCCCCTCACAAACCCTAGCTCAGTTTTGTCCTATTTATATTTGGCTTTACGTGAAAAAGTTTCGGATGTTTCGGTTGAGTTTTATTTGCGCGGATTTATTTGACGTTCAACTTTATTCCCTTTTTTTTTTTTGTTTTTTGCTTCTCCCTTTTCGCACAACACATGTCGGAACGCATTTAAGATTTATATACTTTTTTTTGGGAGTCCTCTTTTTTGGCATGCAGCACATGCATATTGTGGCATGCAACGCTTTTCATGGTTAGCTGCATGCGAGAGTGTTTTTCCAACGTTTTTTTTGCGCTTTAATTGTCTGCTCGGCATGAGAGGAAGCCGAGCTCAATTGAAAAACGCTTTGAATGCCAGCGAATGCCATTAAAGAATTTTATGTTATTAGCCTACGAAAAATAGCAAACAAACAGCAACGGCAGGACTTTAATACGACTAGAAATGCCTCAAGGTGCACAAAGTGTTGCCTTTAAAACAAACAAAAGCTGAGGCGGAAATTAGAGGTGAAAAACTGAAAGCAAAAAATCAGAACGAAAGGCGCTCAAAACGGGCAAGCGACGACCTTTTATTGTTACCTTGGCCGAGACGCTCTCGGCTTTTGTAAAGCTGCCTTCAGTTTTTTTGCCTTTATTTTAAATTATGCAAAAGTATTTTTGCTCGAATGCGAGGAAGGTTAACACACACAAACACACGCACACAGCGAGTTTTCCGCACAATAAAATTGTTCACACTTTTTACGCTGAAAGTTGCGAGCAGCCAGAGGTCCACCTGGGCATGTGTGTAGTAGTAGCTCACAGATTGCCCTAAAGATGCTATAAGTATATATAGTATATATATATAGAGAGAGCGAAAGTCTGATAAAGGCTAAAGCTGGTTTTAATTAAAATTGCTTTAAGAACTACGGCAGCTTGAGATTAATGAACGTCTATCAGAAAGGCAAACAACAGCAAACAACATCAAAGGCTGAAAATCAACTAAAATGCAGATTAATCTGCACGAAAAAGTTACATAAAACAGAAGCTCGGCAAACTATGAATATTTCTGATGTTGAGCTCATCTAAATGCACCTTAGATCCATTGCTCCAGCTCAGGTGCTCAGTGCCTTTCGGCTTTCAATCTCCAAATGCCAGCGAGGCACGTAACAAATCTTAATAGAAAATTGCAAATGCAGCGCGCTGAAAAGTATGCTACGAGAAAAGGCCAATGGCGTCTGATGTAGCTGCAGCTGGAGCCGTGAAGCCATTGCAAATGTCGACAGGTGACAGCAGCTGTGGCTGTGGCGCCTTGAGGCTGCCTTGGTATGGCACTCGTAAAGCATTTGTCTGCCAGCTGCCGGCGGCGGCGGCGGCGGCGGCATATCGTGCCATAAATGTCAGAGCGCGCATTGTTGCAGCCAAACTCTCGCTCAGCACAGGCCGGAGCTCAACTGAGTGGAGTGTGGAACGCATTGGCATGCCGCACGGCCTTTGCACAGTGGTTGACAATGAGGCGACGCTGAAGACGATTTTTCTGCTGCTTTGATTTTGAATAGCTCACTTACACACTTAATAAATGTCGCCAGATGCTCGACTAGGCACTTTTGAGAAGTTAGGCAGAGTGAGAGCGAGTGAGACAGCAAGTCAGCGAGCTAATGCTATGCAAATTTAAATTGCCATCTAAATGGTCCCTAAAGTTGCCAACATTGGAAAGTTTCTTTTATCTCGTAGATTATATCATTACGCATGGCGTATAATAAGTCAGAGAAAAGCTGCGGCTTAAGGAATATATGAGATACCCTGTAAAATGTGAGGAGAGTTGAGAATGAAGTTTAGATGAGGCAATATGAAAATGAAAAATATATATGTATTTATTTATTTAGAGCAGTTTAGAACAATTTAAGATATGCTATCAAAACTTTTAGCTAATATATGCCTAAATACCCTCTAAAATGTGTCTAGAGCGGAATAATCTTATTATAAAAAATAATAAATTGGCAAATGAACTTCATAATGCTATAAATTTGACTGTGCAAGAGCTATAAATATTTACATTCATATATGTCAGTAAATACCCTGTGAATAGCCTGTAAAAATGCAGCATATGCAGATAATATTGATTAAAACATTTTTAATAGGTTTGGCCTAAGTTCAAATATTTTCAAAAGTTGTTAAAAGTGCTATCAATATTTGGTATATGCTCGTAATACCCTGTAAATACATAAATACACCTCACAGCAGCTATATAATATATGCTTTGGATGACATACTCTTTATGCTATAGATAAAACATTTTACAAACCAAGTTTAAATTCAGCTTCTATCAAACACGCACTTAAAATTCATTAACAGGGTATATACAAGCTGTCACAAGCAGCTAGCATAAGCCCATGCGAGCCTTTTCTATTAGCAGCCAGCGGAAGGTCTTTAGGCAAGTCACATGTAAATTTATTTATTGACTCGCCTGCCAAAACTCGAGCAGTCGCCCCTTTGCTCGGTGTATTTTTTGAGCTTATGACTTTCACTTAGCTTTCGCTTGGCTTATTTACACACACACACGCGCACACACAGGGAGTCTCACCTACACACATGTTGTTGCCTTGAGGTGCGTGGTAATTGTATTAAATTTCAATAAACATGTATCAAACATTATGAAACGTCGAGTTGAATCGCAGCAAATTATAATTTCGGTTGCTCTTTTTTTTTTTTTTTGACAGCTGACTCTGTAAAAAAGGGTTTCAGGGCTTATGCAATGTGTAAAACCCATTTTATTGTGCTTGCCTTTTATTGCTTGSTGGTGGGTAAGGGGAAGGGGAAGGGGCTACACATTGCAATTTGGCTGGCAATAAATTCTGTTGGCAAGACAGCGAAATGAGAAGAAAAGCGCGAAAAATAGCAGCAGGAAGCTGGAGAAAAATATTTAAATTTTCTGTGCTGATCGCATTGCGCGCTTTTGTGAGTCCCGCAAAGGGGCAAACAGTAAAAAATCTGCTTAAATGTACTTCCGTCATAAAAAGAACGGTAATGCAGAGCCAACGCCAGCGGTTGGCTTCGGTATGTGTGTGTTTGAGTGTGTGTGTGTGTGTGTGTGTCTCACGTAACCCGAGAGTAGCAAGAAAAACCTTTTTATAAATGCTGCTGCGCGGCTTCCGCTGAATAATAATAAAAACAAAAACAGGCAAAGGCAACATGCCAACGCCGCCGACATTGAATACTCTTCAATTAAAAGTGAAACAAAATAGGAATTTTGCAATTATTAAATTTGAAAGCTAAATGGCTAAATTGCTTTATAAATCAGCTAACTTTTAATTGCTTTTTTACTAATTTCTAATTGTGTCTCTTATGTATTTAAAATTATTTAATTATTTACTTATTTCTTTACTTTTTGATTTTAGTCATTATAGTA